ACCTCATGACCTGAGGTCAAGCCCCAGAATCTACAGAAAGGTGGAAGAATTCTCCAGGCTCATGTCATGGCACACGTGTGCACCCCACACAACAACAACAATAATAAGTTTTAAAGGTAAGGCAGAAGCAATATCTTTTTTTTTTTTGAGACAGGGTTCTCTGTGACTTTGGAGGCTGTCCTGGAACTAGCTCTTGTGGACCAGGCTGGCCTCGAACTCACAGAGATCTGCCTCCCGAGTGCTGGGATTAAAGGAGTGTGCCACCACCGCTCAGCCAGCACAATACCTTGATGTGACATTATGACCAATGCCTAGAGTTTCCACAATGCAGCAGGTCTAGTGACACCTAGCAAGATGCTCTTGTCCACTGGAGAAATTCCAACCCACTGTGGCCATAGCAGGGTGTGGGGTACAAGTGTAAGGAGGTACTCGGTCTAGACAGTGCATTTGAGTGAAGAGCCAATGAGGTTTACAGCCTCCCATGTGCACCCCCAACTGTCCCCTACTTCTTCATCCCTGACCAGATCTCCCGCCCCTGACACCTGGGCCCAAGACAGACACACCCCAGCCCACAGGCCAGCCCTAAGGGCCAGCATATCCCCTACAGGTAGTTCCTCAAGCCACAGACACCTGCTGGAGTCCAGGGGGAGGGGCCGCAACAAGTGAGGCTCGGACCAGCTTGCTCCTTCTCTTCACATCTGTGAGCAGTTCCCAGCATCTGTGGCTCCAGTGCTGTGAGATGATGCCTCACCCCTCCCTGGGGGCCAACCCCTCTGCCTCAGGCAGGTGTGAGTAGAGATAAGGAAGCAGGTCAGGCTGGTGAGGGAAGCCAAGGGGGTCCAGGCATAATCCTTCATTCCTGGCCCCAAACACACTGAACTTCCCTTCAACAGAAACTGTGAGTGACTGGTGCCTGTAGAACTCTGGCCAGACACAGAATGGGGAGAGGCGAAGCTCCACGTTTATTGTGACCACTCCCTCACCCAAGATCCTCCTCTTCAGCCCTCTCTGCTACAGAGTTCACAGATTCCAGGTGAGCCTGCCTGAGGTGAGGAGTTGAGAAACTCTGAGCCCTCCACACAAGGGCACAGGCTCAGGACGTGCCTCATCAGATGAAGGCGCTTGCCACCAAACCTAACAACCTGGGTTCAATCCCCAGTACCCACATGGCAGGATTGTCCTCTGACTTCCACATGCATGCTGTAAGCACACCCAAACACACACACACACACACACACACACACACACACACACACACATAAATAATAAAGAAATATCCCAGCCATTCCTTCATTATACTTGTGTGATGGCTAACCCTGGTTGTCAACCTAACTACATTTGGAGCCAACTAGAACCTGAGCTTGCAGGCACTCCTGTGAGGGATTTTCTTAATTTGAAACAGAAAGGCCCACCCTAAATCTGGGCCATGTCTTCTGGTAGCAGCCCACATTAAAGGACATGGAAGGGTTCTTTGCTTTTAGCCTGCTTGCCTTCACCGTCGCTGGCAAGTTTATCTATCCGGCAGCTGAGACATTCCTTCACCCGGGTTAGAGTCACCTACTCAGGGCTTCAAAGCAGACAAATGATCCATAGGTCTCCAGGAATCCCACGCCAGAGTGGGACAGCTGAGTCACCCAGACTCATGGGCTGAACAACTACTGGATTCTTGGCCTTCTCTCATGAGGCAGCCATTGTTGGGCTACCCAGAGCACAGCCTTTAAGCCGTCCTAGTCCTTCCCCTTTTCACTGTGGCTGCCGACCCTGTCAGTTCTGTGTCTTTAGAGGACTCTGACTAATATGCCAAGTTTGCTTTACTCGGCCACTTGGAGTGACAAATGTTTCTGTCATTTGAAGCTGCCAGGGTGGCAGTCCAGGATTTTATTCGGCCTCATTGGGAGCGGGGTCGGGCGGCTGAGGCCCAGAGAGATGGAGCCCAGGTCACACAGCTAGCTGTAGATTCAGTGATTCAGAGAGCCACGTGCTTGCTCAGTGCCAAGGCGTTCAATCTGGGCTTCCCAGGGAGGGAGAGGGATGAGGAGGCGTTCCTAGCAAGGCCCAGAGGACAGGGACGGAAAGGTACCAGGTTGCCATGGTTACTGGCTCACTGTGTGGCCTCAGACAGACAACCTGGCCTCTCTGAGCCTCGGGCTGGGAACAAAGCATTTCGTCCCCGAAGGGAGCACAGGGGACCTCTGGAGCAGGAAGGTGGGCTCCGTGTGGCTCCCTCCAGCACCCTGCCCGCAGTGGAAGCCCCACAAGGCTGTCGGAGCCCCTCTTCGCCAATACACACTCCACCTGGTTTTAAACATCTCTCAACGCTTCGATTCAATTTGGGAGAACTCCGCAGCTCTGCAGTGCAGAATTCATCAGCTGAGGAGGCTGCTTTCGGGGAATAATTCATTTTTCTGGTGTCGGCGAGCAGAGTAATTGGTCCGGGGGCTGGCGCTCCCTCCCTCCGGCTCTCCCTCCCAGGATGGTCTGATTTCAAGCGCAGCCCCATACGGTTAGGTCAAAGACGCAGCAATACAGAGGAGGGGGCTTCCGCCTCGTAGATTGGATTATTCCACTCGGTGGTGACGAGAAAGAGGATTTAATTCCCCTGGAAACGCCAGCCCAGAAAATCATTTTCACCAGCCCGATTCCCTCTTCCTTGTTTTTCGGGTTGTTTTGTTTTGTTTGTGTTTTTTTGGTTTGGGGTTATTTTTTTTTCCTGAGATATCTGTCTTTAAGATGCTTACTTTGAGCCTCTCCCGACAAAGCCCTTCTCCTCACACACTGCCCACTGCCTGGGGCCACCTCCTCCCATACTCAATCACCATCAGGACAGAAAACCAGGACAGAAAAGGGTCCCTGTCCCACCATGAACACCAGTGAGTCAGGAAGACCCTGTGGCCAAGAAAAGGCCAGGAGACCGATTTTCCCTGACAGGGAAGTTCTTTGCCCCTGCCATTAGGAGGCTAAGGGTCCACTCACCTCCTCCAGGGAGCCCTCCCTGACTGCTCATTCAAACTGAAGAGGTTGTTCCTGGTACATAGCCTGTTCACTGTCCCATACCTAACCTCTTTCCTGTGCCACTCCAGCTACCCGCCCTCCAGAGAAGAACTCCTTGGGGCTTTTTACAACCCCATTTCATAGAAGACATGAGTCACAGAGTGGGTGGTAATTCCCCCTCTTAAAAACAAAAAAGAATTTGATGCCAGGTGGGGGTGGTGCACGCCTTTAATCCCAGCACTTGGGAGGCAGAGACAGGCGGATCTCTGTGAGTTCAAAGCCAGCCTGGTCTACAAGAGCGAGTGCCAGGACAGGCTCCAGAGCTACACAGAGAAGCACTGTCTGGAAAAGGGGGGAAAAAAATTCCACATCAGTCTGCTCAGGGTTCTTTGGTTCATTGTTGTCTCCTGGGAGCATAATAGGTGTTTTGCACTCACAAGGGGCTTAATAAATGTTCGGGTGCTAAAATGGGTCCACCATGAGCATGTGTATGCCCAGGCCAAGCCTAAGTATAGTCTGTGGAGCACAGGAAACCCTTCCCACCTCTGCGGGATTGGGATCCAGAGTCCCGCATACCTGCTGTGTGACACTTAGCCAGGCTGCCCCTCTCTGAGCCTCAGCTCATTTGTGCCTCCAAATGAGGACAGTGGTACAGAAGTCCCCTGAGAGGATTAAACATGGCCAGAGATGAACGGTACTTAGCTCGCCAGCCACACAGCTGTGGCATATCCTGGGCTGTTAGACTGCACTTTGGGGACACTTTTGTCATGTTCAGAAAATATCAGTGACTCACTGATCAAAGCCTGTGAGGCTTTGCTCTCCAGATGGGGTAGTAGGCTTCCCACAGAGCAGGAGACGGTGAGGGGAACCACACAGCCCATTGTCACCATGGCTCTGCATCTGACAGACAGAAGGAAAGAGGCCACCACAGCCTCCCACCTGCCGGATACAGCACTTCACATCCGCAAGACGTGTGTACCACAGCCCTGTGGGAAGAGCACTGCTTTGGGAGTCCCTTGGACCCCTGTGGCTCTGCAGGATACGGTACGGGGGGGGCCTCTATGAACCCCAGCTTCTGCCTGTACACATTAACATGACAAAGTGAAGTCTCTGGGAGGGCTGAGGGCTGCAGAAGGAAGTGGACAGTAGCTCAGACCCATGAGTGTGGGCAGCCTCCCCTTCCACCTCAACGGGCCTTGTCTCCCGGTAGCCCGCGGTATTTGCAGGACGGAGACCTCAGGCCAGTCTCAGGAGCATCAAGGCAGGACCCTGGAGAGCCCAGATCAATTCTTTGCAGCAGAGAAGAGGCAAAGCCAGGGGAGGCCGTGGTGTGTCCATTTGCAAACTGCTCTGTTTCCCTCTGTGCTGTCACCCACTGAGACACATCCCCAGCCCTCTCTCCATTTTTTCATTCTGAGACTGAGTTTTCCTAGTTGTCCAGGCTGGCCTTGAACTCATTCTGTAGCCCAGGCTAACAATGAACCCACCATGTAGCCCAGGCTGACCTTGAATTTGTTATCCTTCTACCTCCGCCTTCCCAGTAGCTAGGGTTACAGGCCTACACTAAATGTGTGCGCTTGACACACGGGTTCCCTGACTCCTGGAGGAGGAAGAGAGAGGGGAAATCGGGGAGGGGAGGAGGCCTGATCCCCACATCTACTGACTGAAGGTGACCCAAGTGGCCTGAGATGATCACGTGGCTGGGCCCCAGAAAGCAAATATGGAGTGTGCATTTGGGAATGGGGGGAGGGGGCGCCACAGAGCTCCACTGGGACTTCCAGCTTTACCACGGGCCGGTTCCCCCCCTCTTCACACTCCCTTCCTCATCCAGGCAGTTCTCCCTTGTATCTCCCCAGAATCTTTCCTGCTGCGTCAGCACAGACCTAAACTGAAGCACCCTGGTTGTCTGCAGAGCTGACAGCAGCTCTAACTCAGCGAGATTATCCTAGCAGCAATTAATTGGCTTTTGTTGGGAGAGAATGAATACCATCTCGTCTTAATCTCCTGCATTATTCTCCCTGTTCAGCAGAGTCAACACAAGATTAGGCTTAATTTAGGGTAAGGGGGAACAGTGGAGTCATTACTCACAGGAGATTAGATCGGATCTGTCTGGGTATTCTGCGCTCACTTCAGGAGAGGGGTCTCAAGGAAGGCCCAGGGCTCTCCTGGAGAGCAGAAGCAGAGGAGCTCCTAAAGACCACCCCAAGCCCTCCTGGGTCAGGTAGGTCCTGTAAGGCTTGGGCCTCCAGTGACCCAGCCTCGGAAACATCTCAGTGGGTAGAGTGCTTTCCCAGCCCTTGCGTCCATCCCACCTAAACCAGGCTTGGCGGCACACCTGCAATCCCAAGATCCAGAGGGTGGAGGCCGGAGAAGCAGACATTCAAGGTCAGCCTCAGGCCAGCCTGGGATACATGAGAGCGTGTCAGAGGTGGAGGGAGGGCGTTCCTGGAGAGACCCCCTGGGTTGAGCCTCTTCAAAGCACAGCCCTTGAGGGTGGAGACTCAACCCTCTGCCAGGAGCCTGCCTGAGCGTCGGATTCAAATCCCACGTCTGAGGCTGCCAAGCTGAGGACTGCCTGGCTGATGCTGCTATCTGGTGGTCATAAGAGGAACTGCCCTTTTCTTCCTTAGACAAAATCCGTAGTTACAAGGCAAATCAATTACAAAAGGAAAAAGGACATTTTTGGACTCTGAGGTTAAGAATGCGGGCTGCTCTTCCAGAGGACCTGGGTTCAGTTCTCAGCAACTACAAAGCGGCTCACAACTGTCTGTAATTGAAATTCCAGGGTCTTCAGGCCTTTTTTTATTATTATTTAAGATTTATTATTTGACGTGTATACATGTGTCTGCATGTATCCCTGCACACCAGAAGAGGGCACCGGATCTCATTACAGATGGTTGTGAGCCACCATGTGGTGGCTGAGAATTGAACTCAGGACCTCTGGAAGAGCAGCCAGTGCTCTTAACCTCTGAGCCATCTCTCAGCCCTCTTCAGGCCTTCTTGACATACATGCAGGCAAAACACCCATATACATATGATTAATTAATACAAGAGATTTTCCATTACAAAGTTGCTAAGCAGAGACAATCACCAGGAATCTACAAGTAAATCCATTTTACACCCTATGACCCCCACAATTAAAACATCCCAGAACCCCTAACACTCATTCAATCGGCCCTGGGTATGATGTCCCATGCCAGAAACCTGAAGTCACCACCCCTACCATGTCCATTTCAGCCCCCACTGCTCCCTGGAGCTCCAGTGGGAGCCATGTCTGATTCTGTATCATGGTGATCTAGACCAATCCTAAGCTGGAAACAGCGCCCCTATCCTCTGACCACATGAGCAGCCAACACATCTGTGTAGAGCCTCTCCCACCCACAGCAAGGTTGATGGTTAACACTGTCAACTTGACAGCTCCTAGTACACAAATCTCTGGGTTTGGCTGAGACGGGTTTCTAGATTGGGTTCAATGAGGTGGGAAGAGCTGAATTTGGGTGGCCCCATCCCACACATGAACAGTCCCCTAACACACATGAACAGTCCCTAACACACGTGAACAGTCCCCTAATACACATGAACAGT